GATTTAGCAGTTGGCCACGTAGCTCTAGGAGGTCTCCATGAGCAAGTCAGAGACCCACAGGAGCACATGAGCAATGCATTTGCCCTGCTTGAGGTCCATGTGTCAGGCTCTGTTCACTCAGCACTGCCTTTAAAGAGGCAACGGTGTTTAGCAATAAACGCTGTCCTTTCAACCTTCTAACAAACAGATTAATTCTTTAATTCTTTAAAAGCAGCCTCCTCTATGGGCAAGGACAGCAATAAAAGTGTATTAAAGATTTCTTTCCTTTATCCTTCATAAGTCCCTGCCAAGACTTCACAAACACGTACTACAAAGTTTGGCAACTCCCAGCATCCCTAACGTCTGTAACAAACTGAGGAAACCTACCTTGGCATGGATCACTGAGAAGAAATTGCCAAAAGCAGAAGACTAAGAGGAGAGATCAGAGGATAGGTTCACAAATTAGTCCTCTACCAGGCCTATACCTGTACTCTTGGAGAACTCTATCAAATAACCCATCATCCTCAAGATATACGCAGCGCATTCAGACATTGCACTGTGATGTCATTCCTGACTATATTAAGAAATGACCAAGTTCCTCAAGTTAAAACTCTTTTGGTTGCAAATCGGGCAGTTTACGTAAGGTGCTCTGTACTGCAGATCACAAATGCAGCCATAAGAGCAACATAATTTCTACAGGTGTCAGCTTTCCATTAGGCAAAAATTTTGAAAGGAAGAACAAAAAGCCAGCGGGATGCAAGAGCTAAAGACAAACGAATACATGTGAAAGCCCAAATTAATCTAAAAGTTATTCAGAATTGTTCTAAGAGAGGCAGAGATCTAGGCAGGGCAGAAAACACACCCATTGCATCCTCCACCTCAAAGATTACATCCCCCCAAAATGCAGTGTATTTACAAAGTATAGCTAAGTTCAAACATCTTTATTCTACAGAATCAATCAGTTATCCTAGTCTCTGATCCTCACATACTGCAATCTTTTTGTTAAAACAAAAAAGAAAAAGAAGTATTAAGAGTTCTTAACAGTCCTTAAACAAAAACACTCCTATACAGAAAGCTCTTCATGTTGTTGTTCAGAACAGCTTTTTATCATATGGATAGGAGTGACTAATGAGGGATATTTGTGTTTGGCACAACACAGAAAACAGTAACCTGTCCTGACTTGGACGGGCTGTGCTCGTAATGAGTTCAGCTGATACGTGTGCTGCATTATGTAAATAGGGATGCAAAGCTAAGGAGCGAGTGTAGCTCGATACTGCTCTTCCATGGAAAACAGAGAGCTCTCAAAGCAACGTACCTAAAACAGAGATGTAATGATTATTTATGTACTGTATCCAAAATGTCTTGGGAGAAGAAAGATTGTTACTTACAGACCTTGCATTGAAGATATTAAGACTTTGGGTTTATTTTTCCAAACAAAAATTGCAGAAACAACCTGCTGGAACTCCCAGGTTCCCACTCGCTCCTGAACACTGGAGCTCTTAAAATCACAGCTTAGAAAACACTTAAAAGAGAGGCCTATACCTGAGGCTCGAAGCAAACTCTTTAGGGCTTGAATCTCTGAAGTCTGACTAGCTTTTATTCTCCACCAGAGCCTCACCAGGGCAAAGAGATGGGAACAGAAGCTTCTTCGCGATCGGTGGGGAAAGGTGTTAGTCCCTTGAGCACCCTGGTCACCCGGCGCAAAGGAAACACACAGGAGCCTGCACATGCTAGGGCCAAACAGGTACGCAGCAAGGAAACAAATTAAATGTTCTTTACTAAACGGGAAAAAATAAAAGATAATTTCCTTATCTTATTCAGGGTTATTTGCACACAGTTAAGTGATGACAGGGAAAGAAAAAAAGGAAAAAAAAAACTGATTTTAAAGAAAAAGAGCTAAGAGGAAGCCCTAAACAGTCTACAGAAGCAGCAAAACCTTTTGTTAACCAGTGCCTATGCCACAGCACAGGTTTCAACTCATAATGAGAGTGCTGTAACTAAGAGCGACACCTCCCTAGGAGTGGTGACTGAACTCCCAGTTATGAAATCAAACAGGAAATACAGCTTTTCGTGATTGCAGAGCTCCAGACAAACAGCAACACTTTCATCTCATCCCTCTCTGCAAGGCTAGGGGCAAGTCGGACCATTATATAAGCTGCCCCAGTGTTCATTAGAATTCCTGGCGACAGCCAAGGGGTGGGGAGCACACACCAACCTATGGCTGGAAATTCCTAAAGGAGGCAAACAAACATAGACCCCCTTTTTGGCAGTTTAGTATAAAACAATTGACACACACCTTTTGAAATGAATATTTAAATTGAACAGTCTCATTGCAAGAGCCAACATGCCTACTTAGGAGGGAAAAAAAATCCCCAAAGTACTTCAGGGAACAGACCTGGCATTTGCCTTAATATATAAATGACTTGGACTTTTTACTATAAATAACTAGAACCAAGACACAGACTTGGCCAGTGACTAATAGCTTCTCCCTAATGAGACTGTTGGGTAGATGAGCCTCAAAGGGCTTTCTAAGGTGGTGCTGCAGTACCAAATCTGAGCACACTGTTGCAGGGAATCCTTTCATCCCCTACACAAGGCAGGTTTCTAGTCCCACCACTCCCAGAAGTTACATGTGTGGATGATGAAGAAAGTCCGGCCATGGTAACGAAGCAAGTTTCACATTTGCTTCATTAAGACAATGGAGAATGCAGAGAGTAAACGGTTATGAAACATACTGAGCCTCTTTACACAATTCCTCTGTCTCTCCTTTCCAAAACATGACAGAAATAAGGCAAGACCTTTTATTTGGTAAACTTTTAAGGCTCTAAAAATATGTTTGGTTATTCCCATGTAGATCATTAATTCAGAGAGAATTATCTGATCTTGCTGAGAAAATTCACTGTGACCCTCATCTGAAGGGGGAAAGGGGTGAAAAATGAAGACAAAACAATAAGAAAGCAGCAGCTGGGAAGTGGAGGGGAAGAGGGCTGAGCTTCTCTCCTCTCTCCGGCTCTGAAGCAGATCAGTGCTTTTATACAGCACATCTAACCTTGCACAGCATTTCCTCGTCTCATTCTCATGCACCAGCCTGTGCTCCTGAGCTCCCATCCCAGTTCCCTGCTCACTGCTGCTGTGGGTTTCTCTGCAGCTTTCCTTGCCAGCTCTGTTAGAACTAGGGCGCCCAAGAAAGAGCCTCCGCACGCGGCCTCTTCCTTCCAGCGCTGTCAGACTGCCCGAGATAACGCTGAAGCAGCAAGAGTCAGCCCCATCTGCAGGAAAGTTAAGACATACTACATCAAGTCACTCAAAAAAACCCCAAAGTTAAAGATGCTAGATTTGTTTAGATTGTTTTTAAAAGCCTCAGGTGATTCCTTGTCTCCCCGAAAGCTTCTTGCAAGGATTGTAAGAGCAGACTCAAGATGACAGCTATGTTTCAAACAATTCTTTTGGACAAAATGAAGCAGCAATAGTAGATTGCCCACTCTATAAACTATGTTTTTTCAAAATGAAACAATCCCTCAATACTGACACTGTCATCTTAGATAAATGATGCTACCCTTACAGGGTAATCAACTGAAACAAATAAGAATAGAGCCTATCACACCATCAGTTGCTAAATCAGAAATCCTCACTGATCTCATTGGGGAACTCTATTGAAAAGATAATGGGACACGAGATGGGCCAAAGGAAGTACTTAATAACTTTCTCATTTTTTCTGCTATACACAAGGAATCACAAAACAGATCACTCAAATGCAAGAGAGAAGTAGCATGCAATTTGCTGCTTCATTTCACTATTGATCAGTCAGAAAACTGTACTTATGTATATCCTATTTGATGCACTTCATAAAAACCCAAGAACGAACACTTTTTTTTCCCTAATTTATTGCAGTAGTTAAGTCCTAGGGACACACACTCTGCCTGAGACACGTCTTAGTGACCACTACAGTTTTTTAAAGCTTCCCCAGTTTGTATCTGACTCCTACAAACAAAGCATCATGATCCTGGAACTTTGTTAAGTGATTCACTATTAGGTAAAAGTGAGAAGTTTATTTTCCCAAATTGCAGGATGTCTCTGTAGCAGGAAATGTCATTCAGAAGAGCATGCTCTGTGGCACAGGCCTGGACTTCCTACTGCCATTAATGGCACCAAGCAGAAGAATTTGGGAACCCCTCGCTATTGTCCTAGCTCCTCTATCCCTCATTTTACAGATGCTACAGCAATAGACACAAGCATTAATGTATTTTTTTCCTTACCCTTTAACAGCTGAGGAATATTTAATTAAACTCTTTTGTTTGGGAAAACAAAGTACCAAGAGGTTAAGTAACTTCTTGAGAAGACAGACATCAACCTGAGATCTTAATGAGAAATAAATGGAGTGTCATTCTCTAGGCACTATGCTGTTATTTAATTCATTTTCACTTGTGAGAATCTAAATTTGGATGCAAAAGAAAAATAGACCCTTTATTTCTCTATTTGCAATCCACCACCACAAATCATAAAGTGAGTATTACTTAGGAGGTCTAGCCCCATATTTTTAGGTAATATTGGAGTTTGTCATCTATGCCCAGTCCTTTCAAATAAATTTAGTCTATCCAACAGCAGCTTGCATAACTTGTATTTTTGAAAACTGTCCTTTAGTAAGGTTTTGGCAACTCTCTTGGCCAAATTCCAAATATACTTTACCTCCTCTCTCGAAAGAAAGAGGAGTCATTTATCCAAGAACGGACATCAATGTGTTAATGACTTTGTAAACAGACACTGTAATCTGCATTCGGGCTTAAAAAAAGATTTTCCCTTTCTTTAAAGCACAGAAATTACAGACAGTTTGAGTAAGTTGGGAAAAAAAAATCATACACAGAAAATGTATCCTAGATCTGCTATTCTCAGTATGTTCCCAGTTCAGACAGGTCCTAAATATCCAATATAACCTCTTACAAAATAACATGTGTCCCACATAGGCTTGTTGAAGCTGCACTTACTCTGCCATGAGTCTTTTGTCTGATTTCAGAGCCCAGCATGGTCATTAATTGGATTAAACTCTTTGTTCTTTCAGTCCTACCTACTCTCTCATTTTTATCCTCAGAGCAAACATTTTCCTGACACAGGGGCAACACTCCCTCTGGTAAGTCTGAATATTTAGTCAAAGTCAGCGCAGCTCATATCTATTCTCAGTAGATAAATGCAGTTGAATCACAAATTCTCAAAGTCTTATTAATATTTAAACAGTCTCAGAGTACATGAAATGGAGACAAGATACAGGCTTTAAAATTATATCAACGTTTAAAAACAGCCTTTCAACTATATAAGCACAGATTCTATTCATCTGGAGTTCTATTGCATGTGGCACAAATTACAAGGCTTAAGAGACGATGTTGCTTACTTTTAATATCAACCTCAGCATTTGCAAGTGGAGGCAGGTTAGGTGAGGAAAAGGCATTGAAACTCCCAGCATCCACCTTAGTCACCCGATTTCCCCTGTACAGTTTATTATAAAAATACAGGCACACCTGCAAGACAAGTAAAGAAACAGGTCTATGAATAAGCCAGTAATTAAAAGATTCAGTAGATAAATACTGTAGTCTGTCCTTTATAAAGTGTTTTCTAAATCTTTAAAGCAACTCAGAGGCTAGTAGATGTTTACAACTCCTACTCTTTCAAAAAAGAACTGGCCCATCTGTCACACACTGGTTTAAGAATTTAAGAACAAAACAAGTTAAAAGCTAACTAGTTTCATAATCCTCTCGTGAGGCATACTCAAGGAGACAGCAAGTTTGCTTAAGTCCACTTCAGGGACAGAGGAAAGGTACAGTGTGGACTATTAAAAAGTCCATTGAGTTAGATCTAAACTCAGAGACTAAAATCTTAAAAACACCTAGTGACAATGAATTACAATTTTTAAGAGTTATCAAACATTTAAGGGTAGGTCTCTTGACAAATCCTTTAAAAGCAGATTGACTGGAATTTGAAGGGGAAAAAAAAAAAAGTGTTTCAGAGTTGTTAGTTCTGAAGATCTTGGCCAGTCAGCTATTGCTGCTATCCTACAAGGAACTGGCTACGTGAGCACACACAGAATTGGAAGGAGGTGTCATCTGATTAGTTTTCTCTCAGGCTTAGGCATGTGCAGTGCCACATCTTTTAAAGTCAGGGTGCTGCTGAGAACATGCAGCTGTTTCCCTGTCTATTAGGGGATCACCCTGCATCACCCTCAGCACTTCAGCCTTCAGGAACCAGGACCAGAAGATGCTGCTATCAGTTCTAGATCGACCTTAGAACTTCCGCTTCAAGAACTGACTTAAAGGTGTTTCAGATCCCACATGCCTGCAATGGAATTTCAAGTCTGCTGCAACCTGCATTTCAGACTTTAGAGTTTTTATGGATTGTATGTAGGAAAAATGGCATATGGATTCTGAAAAAAAAAAGGCACACAAGTGTCTGTTACCTCAGTGGAATCCATTATTTTTCAAGTGCAATTCTTTACTATTTATCAGACATTTTGAATATTTAAGTATACGTTCTGGCTGAAAGAAGAAAAGCAGCTTCTGAGAGTTTTCACAGGCAAACAGACCTCAGGAATCACGAACTGCCCAGCAAAGAGCAGGGCTCCCAGTAGGTTGGCTCGGCCATCGTTCCTCAACTCATACAGGGGCACCTAGAGAGCAAAGACTGAAATTAAATCTTGTCCCTTACATAAAACCTACAGAGCAGTAAAAAAAAAAAAAAAAAAAAGTCCAACTTATGCAATACAAATGAGCAAATAATTTATGTAACAATGATTTATGACAAATAAAATTTACTTCATCTGAACTATTTTAGACTGAAGCAGATGGTGGGGTTTCCCTCTGTGCTTAACAGATTTTCTAACTGAATACTTAAAGAATAATATAGAGTTGAGCCTAATAGAGCAATTGCTTTTAGAAGTAGAGACCTATTCAGAAAAAAAATATATCAAAATAGAAAGCAGCCATACTCAGTTTAAGCGTTTGTACAGAGAAAAAGCAACAGTCTTGGTTCATACAGAACTCTCATGATGAGCTTCATGATGGCTCTCTTGCACCATCTTTCTTTATAGAACACAAAAATTGAACCAGCAGGTTACTACTGACAGTAAAGGGCAAGATTAAAAACAGAAATTCAGTCTGCTAAGTGAAGCAGTGATGACTTCCATGCCTTTTTAGATTGCCTTTTCATTAACAGAGAGACAGAGTTCTTTTCAACAATGAAAAAAATCACATGCCCTGTTGCTGGATCATATGTCGGACAGATCTTCAAAAAAAGAAAGCAAAAAAAGTAAGACCTTGAATATGATGTACTACAACCAGACTGCCCAATGTCAAGACAGTAAGTGGGAGTCTGCCTCTTCCTAGACTTCAAATAGACCACATGTGAAAGGAAAACTATGAAAAGGGGGGAAGGGGAATGTTACAGTGCTATGTTTCATCTCTCTTTTGTGATTAGAGCTCTGTTTTGTGCTCAAGCAAGCTATTCTAGTAAGCCAACCCCTCCCCCTCAGACAATATGCAAAGGTCTGATCTCGAGCTAAAGGAAAGAAAATTACTAAATCTAGTCCTCAGAGTGAAAAAAGCAGACCATGCTAAATGCTTCATGGAGAAGAAATTATCAAAAATGCACATAATGCTCAGATATAAAGAAAGGGGGAAGAACACAACAAAGATACCAAAGAACAATGAAAAACATAAGACAGGGTAGCAACTGCTGAAGTAAATCGGCTGCATGCTTGAGGGCTTTAACAGAAAAAAAGGCAACTAACAACCACCAGCCACCTGAGGCTGGAAAGATGCTTCTCATATAAACAGATTATTACACAGTGGCCAGTGACAGGCTCTTACAGCTTTCTCTGAAGCATCTGGCCCCAGCCATAATGAACTACTGGTCGGATTTGGTGCAGATCTGTAAAGTCACTAATGATAAAATTTGGGGGCAGATCCCCAGCTGGTGAGCCCATCAGCTGTCACCGTGGTCACGTTGCATTACTGCCGTACGCAGTGACCCTCCGCACACCACACAGTTCTGCACACAAGAACAGCCACTGAGACTTCAACTTCAGGGTAAGTCCATTACCTGAGATCCTGTCATAACCACAGTTTTGCCCAGATTCTCAAACATGAAGGATAAGGCTGACGCTGTATAGGCCATTGTATCAGTACCATGAAGAATCACAAAGCCGTCGTACTTTTCATAGTGCTCCTGGAGTTGGAGAGACAGTTTCGTATTATTAAACTGACACATTGGCATCACTGAGGTGCAATCTGCATTATTTTCACTGATACAAGCACCAGTGTTACACTTTAAAGAAGTAGTACCAGCATAATTCCTCTTAGAGTTATCCATGTTTTCAGTTTATATATAATTAAGGGTTAATCGGACAATAAGCACTAGAGCTAGTAATTCTAATTATGGAACAGTCAAAGAGATCCTTCTATGTATACATATTAATGCAGCATTTTTAAACCAGAAGACTGCTAATTAAGAAAAGCTTAGCAATGGCTTTAAACAGGAATGTTAACATATGCAAATTAGTCGTATAGTCTGATTTCTTGTTACTGCTTTTACTTTAGGGATTACACCATTTACAGGAACAGATTAGGCAAACCAAGGCTATCACAACCTACAGAAAAAAACAGTCCCTTTAATCCAGGCGGCAGGCAGGCAAATTGCCAGTGTAAGAGTGCCCTCTTCTGCTGAGAAATCAACCTTCCCACAGGAGCCATCGACAGCACAGAGAACTCAAGAGGTCTGTTACTGTTCACAGTTAAGGTACACGCATTTGCTGCAGCGTTTTGAATAGCCCCTTAGACCATCAGGCATGTAAAAATGGAAAAAAATGTATTTTATAACATGACTAGTCTACAAATAACTTGTAATGCAAAGCCATTGAATGGCACTGCTCATCCCATTGGAATAAAGTTATCAGTTGGCTTCCGGAGGCAAAAGGAGTTAGTTCCTCTATTTTAATGATGCATGTGGTAAACAATGTTGTAAGAGACAATGATAGTTTTTACTACTAGTTCTCATTTGCTAACATGGACAGGATTACACAGAAGTCTAAGTAAATATGCAAAATGCCAGAGGAAAAAAAAAAGTTTTTTTCCATGGAATTAAGCCAGATTTCTATTTAATTACATTGCTTGTGCCACAATAGGAACATTCCCTTGCCATCTTCTGATAATAAAGTCACCTTTAAACCTACTCTCAGATTTCTATTTGTCCTTGTCCTATTACTTCACTGATGCCTCCACATGTTGCTACCTACTGAAAATTTGGGAGATTTTCACTTTATTTCTAGCAGGCTAGTCAGCAGAGAAACATTTGGTGTCGCAAGACCTTTTCTGTAGGCTAAACCACAAGGTGATGCCAAACTTGCTATGCTGTAGTTATCCGGCAATGCAGTAAAACAGAGAGTTTCAAGGGCAGCCAGGCGAGAAATGGCCACTTGCCCTCGTAAGTCCATCAGAATGCTTCAGGACTAGTTAGGCCTTATGAACTTTATTAGATGGGATGGAACACAGCTGGGTTTATGCATCATAATATAAAATATAAGGCTGAAAATTTGGGAGAAATCCCAAACAACCATCTTTGTTTCAGCCTGAAAAATCTTCAGCAGATTCCTGCTTTGCCCAGTAAGTGGCTGAACTGAACACAAAGTTGCGGCAGTGCCTCTATCTGTCAGAAAGGCAAAGGTTTTTCCATTTCCTTTGGAGACAGAAGTGTAATAAAACTAAAACTAATGTGCAGTTAGGAAAGACAAGACCTCTCCTGTTCAGCATGGCACCGTCTTCTTGCTGTGGCAGCTCTCAGCTGTACCCCTGGGTGCACTCTACATCGTCCCCTGTTTGGTGGTTTCAGGATTAGAGGACTTCAAGGAATAAGACTCTTCTGCGATCTTCAGCAATATTCCCAACATTATTAAACTCTTGCTGAAGGAAGAAATTTAAACTATAAAGTCCACCACTTTAGAGCAAGCGGGAGTAGAAGAGCATTATCTTACAAAGGCCACAGTTATTTACTTCATAAGAGCTTCATATGAATTCTTCGTGTAAAGTACTTTAAATATTTCATACTTCTGCTACCTTAAAAGCACACAAGGAAGTTTGGATGTAGGGACAAGAGCAGAAAAGTGAGACTTTTTCATCTAGGAAAGGACTTAATGAGTTTGTCTACACTTACAGGAATATCTATTAAATATTTCCCAGTGTGGGGAACCTAACCCTGATACCATTTTTTTTCTACCTTCTGCAAAGCCAAAACTAGTTAAGTCAGTCTTTGTCCAAAGTAAGAGAGGCATAATGATATAAAATCATTTTCAATGTTAATAGCTATTAAACCATTTCCACAGTGAAATGCTGCAAAACTAACCAACCTTCAAATAAATCACCTACACCTAAGGATTTTATTCAATATTTTTGGACAGTGAATTTAACTAAAAATTTTTTACACATCGATTACACAGCTTATTTCAATCATACTTGTGATTTTTAAATGTAATAACTATTACAAAATTCTGACATTGCCTATCAGTGGAAGAACTATACAACTTTAGTAAAGTTTCCAGCATATTAAAGGAAAAAAAATGCAATATTACATGCAAAATACTTACCACTTTGCAGGTAATTAAGTGGGGTATAGCACCCTCCATAACACTTTTATTTTTAATACATAACAATGGCATTACTGGATTGTTTTATCTTGCTAAAAATACCAAATATACTGCTGCTTTGTGTAAGCAGGAAACGAAATCTCATCCCACACCACTATACCTCAAGTTTCCTTGCAATTTTGGCCCAGTCCTCTGGAGTCATGTTGGAAGAATCAAGCAATGGTGAGAGCTCCAGGATTGTGTAGATAATTCTTTTGTTTTGCTTAGAGGTGCTATGAAGAAAGAGAATTGAAAAAAAAATGCTTCACACTCAGAGCTAACACTAGCTCCGCACTTCTGGTTAGTTGACTAAAATAGCCGTTTTTGCCCTTCTCCCCATTTCCATCAGCAGGTCTATGGTGTAAAATTGTTGTCACGTTTGGGACATTAAGTTCCAAGTTTATAAACTCATGGTCTAATGTAGTTTAAAGCACAAATATCTGAAACTGGACAGGTATGGGGAGGAGTTGTCAAAAACGAAGGCAAAAAAAGTAGAACCTAGATTTACTTTACTAAATCCTAATGTTTGGAACTGAGTTCCAAACAAAAGTCAATACTAAATTTTAAGGTTTTTTTAAAAAAAGACTTTACAAATCATGGAATGGAATCTAGGAAATTCCCAATGAATATAAGGAGTCAATAGAAGAGCTTCAACCACTTTTTAGTGCTTTGATAAATACACATTCCCTGACAAGCAGAGTATCTTAAGAGTCTTACAGCCAGCCTGCATTTCTGTGGCTGTTACCAGATCCACTCTGCTCAGTTTCTCTGACCTCAGATTTCAGAAGAGGAGCTCTGGGTTAGTTAAGACTTTCAAGAAAAGAAGGAAACTGCTGCCTGGAGACCCAGCAAAAACCTTATTGCCTTTGCTAGTAACCGGCTAACTTTGTAAACCCCAGTGCTAGCCACTAGGTCTGTTGCCACCTTGTTATGAGAGCTTGCTCTGTGAATCTATCACGTGGATATACAAAGTCCACAAAAGACTCCTATTTTCTGCCCTCGGAAACGTACAACATTTCTCAACTGCCTGGTTAAACTCAACCAGGTTAACTGCCTGGTTAAACTCAACTCAACTCTCAACTACTACGAAAGAGAAAATGGCAAGTTGCCATGACTAACCACATGGCACTTAGCTGTGCCAGAAAAAAAAAGTATTTCTTTGTTTTTGAAATTCGATAAACTCTTGATCTGAATGATTGTTTAAAGTTTTTTTTTTAATTATTGATTATAGAAAACATGCTGGGAGACACATATTCAGGACCCAAATAATTATACTGGTGCAGTTTTGTTACATTTTAAATCCTCTAAAAGATTTAAGCTATTTGGGTATAATCACAGTATTTTAACAAATCTCCATTTTTCTTAGCATAATCATCATATTTAACATAGATTTGATGTTCACATCAATACTACTCCACCAGGACTCCATTTCTTTCTCCCTTACCCCTTCTCCTACCACCTCCCTTTCAAGTGCTTACTTTCAAAAACTTAACACAAACCTGACTACAAAATATAAAGAAAGAAAGAAAGAAAGAAATCTTACATTTTGCTTGTATGTCCTGATTTTTCTCCTTTAAGATTAAGGAATATTCACTTTTACTCCTAAAGCAAAACAGCTATAGTCTCATTTATTTTTGAACAACTATGTAAAATCATCCTTTGTGCAATGTTAACGTGTTTACAGGGGTACAGCCATTCATCACAGCTGGGGAATATCTCAAATTAGCATACTGCCCTCTAAATAAAACCTATAAGCTTATTAATCACTGCCCAACAGTTAAGAAGCAACGCAGATTAATTATAAGCCCATCACTCATTATCATAATGTTGCATAAATTTGGAGGAGACAATCAGCTTTTATGGTTTTCTAAAAACAGAAGGCCTGCAGAATTAAAGCATGGGGCCTATTCATGGATGCATTAATTAGCTGCTACTTTTCCAGACATATGCTGGAGATAATTTACGGAGTGCTGTATATATTTTTTTCTTAGTTTCTGTGGAACATTTGTATATCTGCACTTAACGTTCAGAAGCAGAAAAGAAATGCAGAACTAAGCTGCCTAGAATGTTTACTTGTTGCCTGATTTTAAAGTTCTTTTTTAAGCAGCTGTATAACACTTCATTCCAAATAGCACCAGACATATTAGAGTTTTCTTTATTTCCCTTTTAAATCCGTTTAAGCACTTTGGCTAACCTCACACTAGCATCTTCAGATTAATGGTTGGAGATTTAATTCTTTGAAAATTAACAGGACACTTTCCTACCCAAGGAAACAAGGAAGATGTACTTACGGGAGCACCAGTGTCTTATCTGGATACTCATGGCAGTCGTACAGCCTTTTTTCCTGGGCGTACGCTTCGTCATGCAGCTGTGGCATGTTTTTCAAGCTGCTTACCAACTTATTGGCCTCGGGAGTGAGTCCTGAAAAATTAAGGAGAAAATGATGTAAATAAAGGAGCAGGATGGGAGAAAAATGAGACACACGTTAAGGAGAGAAGTTATGCAAATATTCACTCAGCCTTATAAATTAAATGTAAATAGTCTATCAGCAATACTAGAATGAGAAAGCAGAATATAACCAAGAAATCTCTGTGCATTTACTCCTTTCTTGACATGAAATAAAAGAAAAACCTTTTATCGGGAGAAATAATGTCACAAGTTTCCTTCACATTAAAATTTGTTTCCTTGTAATTGTTGCTTGCAAATACTGATAAGCAGTAAGGGCAGGAGACCAATTTTTGCAGCCAAAGCACAAAGCTGTCCTCTTTTCCATAGCTATTCTCCACCTAGTGGCATAAAACTAGAAAACATTGCTTTGTACTATTAAGTTAAGTGAAATTTTTGCCTAACCTTCTTCGCCTACAGTAGCATTGGCAGAAACAGCGAAGTACTAGCCAACCGTATTGGAAAGTTGCAGGTAGTGCCTCACTACCAAGAGCTGCAGCAATTGCAAAGAGAAATGTAGCAGCCCTAAGGATGGCTGAGGCTTAACCCAGACCAGAAGGGTCCATTTGGGGCTTGCTGAATCTGCAGATCACATTGCAGGTGATCTGGTTGCAACCAGGCTTGTAGAACAGAACCCAGGGGCTGCCCCTACAAGATAGAAAGGCACCTTTTTTTTATTTTTTTTTTTTCGGTCATGATACTGAGTTCCTCTGAGCCAAGCTTTTAACTGTTCTGACACTCACAGGATAAACGAGGTCTCTACATTACAGTTACTGTGATTAGCTAAGGAGAGAAGGTCATTCACAGTTTAGACTTAATGAAATAAAGCGTGGCTAATCTCAAGCTTTAGCAATTTCTGGGTCTCTAAGTGACATTAGGAGTTTCCAGATCAGCAATATTCAAATTATAATATTCCAGTTATAATACTATATCACAGCGTTCCACCCAATTTTTCATTTGCAAATAGTTTTCCTCCTTAGCTGAGAGAACTACTCAACTACCCATACCTTGATGCAGGCAAGACAGCAACATTTCTCATGTCCTGAGCCTGAAACCTCTCTCTTTTCCCTAAGTCTGACCATTTGAGACATCCTTCATTCAAGCAAATTCCATCAAATGAGCTTTTTTTCCTTCTGAACTTCAAGACTCTACTGGCATTACTGTTAAATTTAATGTCAGCAGTCAATGTATTTTATACAACCCATTCAGATGGCAAACAAGGCCTCAAATCTCACTATTCAATTTGTCCCATTTTCAGTTATTTATCATTTGAGGCTAGATTTGCCTCCCACTTCCGAATTCCTCTGTTTCCTTAAATGTGATCCACGCACCAGTTAACCATCTTTTTGTTTGCTTGTTTATTTCACCAAAGATTTTTACTTAAAATACACCAAAGCACAGAGAAACAGCAATGGTGTGAGTTAACGGGCCTCCATGCACCCTTTGTTGGGATCTGTTTCCTTTCCAAGTGGATGGAAAGCCCCTTAAGAACAGCATAATCTCCCTCATTGCTCGCCTTAAATAAGCAGCAGGCTTTTTTGGAGTCAGCTTTCTCACTGGACAGCACCAGCATTGCAGTGGTTTTGCTTGGATTCCTGCCAGAACACTTCATCTTACAAACACACTTCACGTGCTCCCCGGCTGTGGATGCTTTGTTCGTTCAGTTGTTATCCCTGCTTTTCCTACTAAGATCATCCTGGCTCAGACACAAACCAGAACTTCTGCTGTGCTTGGCCACAGAATTATTCCAGCTCTGAAGCACAGCCCACGGATTCAAGTGTTTTCTGATTATTTTTTGTTTGGTCAATGCTCATCTTGATCTGAATATTAACAAAGGATTAGACTGCTTATTAATACTTTTCTATTTGCTCTAAGATTGAGATAGCTGTGTACACTCATGTTCTTAAATCCTTTCTAAATGACAGTTTCTCATCTCTTAATCACAAATTTGGAAGGATTTCTCTGTAAGTGCTAACACTGAACTTAACCTTTTTTCCCAAGACATTATGTCCCCTAAATGCATCCACGTTTAACAGTGATTTCTGTTTTATGTCTTCAGTAAGAAAAAATGGGAGAACTCAAGTGCAATCGCCTAAGGAAATGTTCTACCTTATTATGCGTGGAAATTACCTTTTGAGAGTCAAACTTGTTACAGGGCAGTTGAAACAATTTCACCCTCAGGGGAGAGGCAGTCTGTGCTACTTGCCAAAATGCCTCTCACCAACTTACCTGGCCACCCCCTGCAACACCAGTGATGGACAAATGCAGAGCAGCAAAGAACACAACTCTGGCTGAGAACCAGCATAGCTCGCTCTCATCCATGCAGTGAGGACTCTGATGCTACTATATCAGTGAAGAAACCCCAAGAGCTGGGAAGATTGGGAATACTGATGTTCAGCATCACTCCCAATCCTAACATACCTCTATACCAAGGAAAGCGAAGGACTTCGCTAAACCAGTTTTCCACTAAGAATATTATTACAAATAGGGTGTGTGTGTGTGTATATATATATATATTTACACAAACACAAAACTCCTAAGGTACAAACTCCTAAAAGTCACAACTAACTATAGTTAAAGCAGAGAATCAGGAAACAAAGTGCTTTCCAAAGTATTCATTCTCAGAACAGCAGAACTTGGACATTTCTGAGGAGATCTGTACAAGTTTCAAGCAGGAGAAAAAAAAAAAGTTGTACACTGTTCATTTTTACTATACCAGACAGTTCTTCGGTCTGTATCAATCCCACATATACATTTGGTGGCAGTTCTGCACATCAACCTGTTCCTTACAGAAGACCTATCTAACTGCTAGGATTTAAAAATGAAACTATCTTCTTCAGCAAGGTTAGGTAGAAGCCTGGCTTGTTCCCTTCACTTTGACCTGAAGGAAGTCACTCTTGCTTACCTTGTTTGAAATAAAAGTTATAGTCCTAGATAAGGTCCTAAACAGGCAATTTCCCTCCACTGTATCTACAGTAAAAGAAATGAACATCTATTGCTTTTGCCTTTAAATCATGCTGCCCTTTCACCAGCTGAACGTTAAAGGTTGCTGCTCCATGTGTATACAAAACACAGGTCGAAGCCTTCATCTGGATGCAGCAAGTCAGCATCACTGGATTGCAACTGCTACATTGTTTGCACGTGCTTTAATGATTGACACTGATAAGTAAAAGAAAAAGAAAAAACACACAAGATCAGAAGCAGTGCAGGAACTCACTGAAAACAAAATTCTGCATCTTACTTATTTGCTTAAAACGAGCTGCTTGGGAAGTCAAGACACCAGAAGGAGGAAATGGTTTTAGTATGAGACTCATATACAGAGAGAAAGTAACTAGGTATCATTTGAAACATACAGAAAAAAATATCTCACAACCTGAAACTGTCGTGCTTGAAACTGTTGTGCTTCCGGCCTATTTGGTAGATCAAGCACAAAACAAGAGCCATGAAAGTGAAAGCTGAAGAAAAACCTTAAAGCATCTTCCCTACAACGCTCAAGATCAGCCAGCCAACCTCTGAGGAGGGCTATGTCCTAGGAAAAACAGTCCAATCTAGGAAGCTCTGAAGTGAAGCCGAAGTGCTTTAACCCTACAGACGAATAGCCTAGATGTTATGTCAAGCACAGGCTTCAAACGCTGTTGCAGGGCACTCAAGTCCCCCACTTGTGAACAGCCAGCACGGCGGGACACAGACTCTGGAAAGCCAGGGATACTCCATAGCCTAGTGAGTGCAGAAGAAAGAAAACCAAACAGATGTTCATCAAAGTTTTCCTTCACACACCCACATCCCCAGCTCTACGCTACACCTGTAGACTCCTCATTTAGAAGTTAGGCCTTAGGGATACTTAGGTGTTATTCCAACCAGCTTCTGGATCCGGGGAATGAGCTGGAGTTAGATGAATGTTAGGTACCTATACGAAAAGATAGGTATTTTTGTATACCTATTGTATATGTAATCTTTTCGTATTTAGGTGCACTTGAAAATGTACAGCAACCTATACAGCCACAGGTTCCTAAGAAACTTACAGAAAAAATGCAATATGCAGAGAAATCTCAGACTTCAATTTTGGTTTACGCACCAAGCAGTGAGCGAGTGGAGATAGGCATATCCAGCTTCTCCTTTGCAAGTACCTCACCCTCCTCTGCCAGACCTATTTACCCGTCTCCGCTCTGCCGCTGGGGTAGCACAGGAGGGACAGCGGGAGCAGAGGCGCAGCAGAGGCGCGTGGCTGGCGGGCAGGGATGCTCGGAGGCAGCGTGCGCCTCTGCTCGTCCCCGCGCTTGGCAGGGCACGCGCCGCCGCTGCCAGCCCCAGCCCCCACCACCCCCCAACCCTCGAGGGGCATCCCCGGCGGCAGGACCACGCGACACACGCGTCCCCACAGCAGCACGGCCGGGAAGGTTCAGCCGGTTTCATTTTCATAGTCGGGGGAGCAGCGAAAGAGAAAAGCCTGAAGAAGGCGAGTGCTGGCTCCGCCACGGGCCCCATCGCTCGCCAGGATGCCCGCGGGTCGAGCTGCCCGGACGGGACAGGCTGGCGGCGCCGGAGCCCGCCCCTGCGCCATGAGGAAGGGGGCTGCCGAGCCGCAAAGCCCGCGCGGGGAAGGGACGAGCCCCAAGCGGCGGCCGCGGGGGCAGGGGGGAGCGCG